GTGGATCAGTATTTATAATGGTGATTGACACCCAACTCGGGTTAGACAACATTACTTATTGTTCTTAGTAAGAAATATATGTAGTCTTCAATACGTATATGTTGTTTTTGTAATTCTCTCTCTCTTCCCCCCCCCCTCTCTCTCTCTCTCTCTCTCTCTCTCTCTCTCTCTCTCCCCCTCTCCCTCTCGCTCTCTCGCTCTCTCTCTCTCTCAACTTCTTTATAATTGTTTCATTGTTATAATATCCTACTACCACCTTGTAAATATCATGTGTGCGTATTAATATGTTTGGAAAGTGCTTTATATCAATTGTAAAACTTGTGCCCAATCCTATTGCTACATTTGTGCAATAAAATATTATCAAACCAAAATTCATTAGTATATCATATGGAATTAAATGATATTAAAACAATTTTTTGTGTGATTTTGCTTGTACAGCTAGACAACTCTTCTTGTAAACAAAATGGCCGACTGTCACTTCCGGTATCAATACACTTAAATGTCTAAAGTTATTAAACTTAAGTTCGAGGCCTTTTTAAACAAAAACAGTCACTTCATAAACAAATTTATTACCAAACATATAATTTTTCACAAAATTTGTATAAGCACCATGACATACGAGTCTGCCAAGTTTGGTAAGGTCTTTTGCTAGACGTGGACCCGAAAGTTCACACACGGAAACAGTTACCAACAAAATTTTCTTTCAATTGTTGTCAACTATTTATAGGAACATTGAATAAAATCTCCACTGTCATTTTTTTCTGAAAAGCACATTGATTCACAACACGAAAATGGAAAATCTCAAACCTAGCGCAAGGCGTCGCCCTGCGCAGTCTGATAGAGAGCAATATCACTTCTCTCTTTCATATATATGTATATACACTGATGCTCAATATAAGGCTTTTATTTCCAACTTTGTAATCATCAAAGTATTGTTCATAATTACACGCGGGACTATATTACAAGTGTTTCGGCTGCTCTCGGATTTGATCCCGCTGACGTCAGTATTTGGTAGGGCGGGAAAATTTAAACACATTCTTTGTTTCAGATAACAAATATTAAACATGACGAGAAATAAAAGCGTTGAAAGGATACTGGATGGCGGTATACAGTCGATATGAATGCAATAGGGTTATACATGTAGTTAAATGATCACGTGGATCTAACGGTTTTACGGTCACCCAAACTGAATCCATATCGACTGTTTACTACTATCTGTTGACAATTCTTCACCTCAATATACAGCACTTTTATATAATATGCATAATCTCAATCAAATTGTGCTGTCTTTTAAGCAGTGCATACTCCATAAGACTTTTTGCATTGCTTTCTAAAACAACTAGTCGTACGACGAGTAATTAAGGATTAGAACCAAAGCATGACGTCACATCCGCTTCATAAACAGATATCAGTGTTTGCACATAAAAACACCATCCTGAAAACTGGCGCCAGAAACAACGGAAGAAAGAGTATTGTTGTGAATTCCCCTCTCATATTTAACTCTTTCTTTTCTTTCTGTGTGTATCTATCTTCCATTGAAAATCCGGTGTCATACAGAGATGGTAGTGAATGCTTTATCGTTTTAATTTTCCAACCATTTAAGTTATATCGCTAAAACGATAAGGTGATATCATCATAACGATTGCTGTTATTTCTAGAAGAGGTGTAATTCTATTGGGGATCGGTGATATCAATAAACAATATCACTTAAATGGAATAAAAAGTAAAATGGCACCTGTAGGAGGACTCTCTTATTTAAATATAATGAATACATCACTGAACACCATGCGGGAGACCCGCCGCAAGTTATCTAGAAACCATTGACTAAGCACATAACCAATACAACATAGGACAACCCCCATGACCTCGGCTTCCTTAGACATACAGACTATCGCGGGAAGGGATCGCACCACAGAATTCAAACATCACCCAATGTTGTATAATTAAGATACATGTATAGACCTTGTAATGTATTTTAGTTTATGTTGTAGTCTGGAACTAGGATTGCTTGTAGGTGTTATCTCCCTTTAACTGCTAAATTCAATCGCTTACGTGTATTGCAAAATGTGACGTTAGCCCGCAATACAGAATACATTTGTGTACAATATATTTATTTCTTGTTTTAATATAGTGTTTGTTAAATATTTAGGATATTTGGTATAGTATCAAATCTAGTTTTTGTTTGTTTGTTTATTCGTGTGCTTGTTGCGTTTATATCATAGAGAACAGCCAGGGTCACTTTGAGGCTGCCTGAAACACAAAACTGTCCAAAGTAGGGGTCGAACCCAGTATCTGAGGACCTGTAACATTTTCTTTGCTTACCTTGTCTCAGTAGATCAGATCACACATCTATCCGGAGCAAGGGATCAGACTTTTGGGTATTTTGGGTTTTTTTATTTTTTTTTTTTTTTTTATTAAAATCGTTTCTTAGGTTTCATAACAATATACACTTACGATTGGCTGTAGCTTATCTTTAAAATGGTTTTTAAGCCAAATTCTAAATTCAGTGTATCATTTTGTTAAAGCATTTTCATTTGTTGATAACAACAAATATTCGAAAAAACAGCGAAAAATAGACAATCCTACCGAGCGCTCGTCAGGAATCGAACCACCGTCTTTGGCGAGATAATGAAGCACGGCCCATCAGCTCAGTGACAAAGACCGCATGTTTTGTTTAGATTCTTACCATGGACTCTTAATATCGCAGTCGACCTATTGGAACAGTGAAAATGCACATCCCTGCCGATTGCCCCGATAGAAATCGAACCCAGGTCCCCGGCGTGATACAACTGAGTGGCAGAGGTTGCATTTAACACCATTTACAAAAATATTCGGGAATTATTTTTCTCTGTGCGTTCCCTCTTGAGCTAACTTATCATATGCTGCAAATTTTTCATGAAGTTCAATTTTTTTTTCATAATTATTTTTATAAGAAACACGCTTGTCATCGATTCTCCATATCATCAAGATCGAAAAAAAATTGTATTTGGAAAGAAATTAAGCTGCACACAAAGATAAACAGAAAACTGTACAGCTCGTTAACAAAATCTAATTAATGATAGATTGGACATGAAAATCAGAATCTATAAATATTCATAAATATATTTCATATATCGGTTGTTACATACAATTATATTAGATAGTAATTATAAGCGCAATCCCAGTGGAGCTAAACACAAAAAAATTAACCTGGCACAATTAGTAAAACAAGTACAATTAATTGACAACTAGATGTTAAAATCTTAATTGGAAGCATATGCTAAGACTCTCTTGTTTCTATACAAGTATTTAGTAGTTTCGGAACATTTTCTTCGGGTTGGCAATTTCAATAGAATAGAAGTTCTTGAAAAACAGCCGAAAAACAGCCAAAAAACTAGTCTTCTACTGGCCGTGTGATAAGAACTTCTATTCTATCAACTATTAAATAAGCTTAGTGACGCCAGCACTTGTAATTTAATAGAATAATGTGCATTTTAAAACAAATGCTGGTGTCGCAGCCGGAAAACGTAAAGTATATACATTTTTGCACGTGTTGTCTCTCGCGTGTAAAAAAAAAATGAGACAAAGAGCACATTTTCTTTTTATCCGAATTTGCTTTAAATGGGATAATGAAATTCCCACAATTCAAAAGTGTGTTTTTTAAAATATATATATTTAGGTCGATATATCATATTCTATCAAAATTTAAAAACTATCCGTTGGTAGAAACAGTGTGTCGTCTGTCTGAACGGTTTTAACGGTGTTCACTCTCGGGCGAGTAAAACACGTGCAACGATGCAAAGTATATGTACTATGCACACGTGAGTGGTGCTCACCTGCGGGAACGTAATTAAGTACGCGTGCATGAGGCCGATGTGGTCAGTTACGTACCTGAGTGACCATCCAAACGGACGTCCGATGGCTAAGTATATCGTTCTCTGCATCATTACCCTTCTTCTACACGCTGGGCGACAGGTTTGTACTCCGATAAAAATCATCTATATTTAATTCAATAATATTGTTTGAAATCGAAATCTGATTGGTATTTCACATACCTATTGTCAAGATGCATTGTTAGACAACGAGAAGTGAATAGCTAAATGGTGTGAGAGATGACATTTTTGAGAAGTTATTTTTATTGCAAACTGTAGGAACTTGTACATTTGATTATATTGAGAACCTTCTAAAAATGTATTTTTTTAAAGAATTTGCGATATATTTGAACGAGAATACAGAAAGAAGATAAATTCACATTCCATATCTTTCAAGTTTATCTGAAGGATAAGGATGTTAAAAATGTCAATCAAAAACAACACGAACGATACAATTTATATCATTAACAAAGATTTAAACATAATAAAAATGTTGACTATTTCTATAGAGATGCGAAATGATAAAATAGATAGATGAATATTGAAATTGGTCGATATAACAATAGATTAGAGACATTTAGCAGTTGTGTGTATTTGTAATATTGATGACGTGGAAATAAAACATTATTTTATACTAAAATGTGAGCACACTGCAGAACAGAACAAGAGGGCATCGTTTTTAAGAGTTTAAGTTCACGTGAGATACAATGTACTTTACACCAAGGCCACGTATTTAAAGTCTATATGTACACTGTGGATAAACACTGTTACTGTTAGTATTGAAAACATCGTGTTGATAGATAGCTTGTTTTCTCAATCTTTTTTCGCGGTATGTATTTTCAGGGAAGAAAACAGACTATGATTCATCTCACGATCCTTATTCATATTTGAAAATAGTTAAAAACAGGAAAACCTTTAGAGTTCGCCGGAATTATTCTGGCTTTCTACTGACTGTCTCTGACGGTCTGGAGTCTTTGGACGTTAAACGACTATAGGCAGATATCTTATTTTAAATCGATAGAACGTCAGAATAGTTCGGCAATATTAACAGTGACACCCTTTCGTACATCAAAATTTCCTTTTGTCCAACTTTCTCCTGACATGCTGTCAAATATTTCTATCATATATCTCCTTAAAAGATATTTTAAAATGACAAAGTTTCTTTCACTATTTCAGAGCTTTACGGAGGCTAGATGTAGCAGCTATGTCGTACTGGGGAACGGCACTGAAGAGCGTTGTGTAAGATTTTTCACTTCTAAACACACACCATGGCAATAAATTTCTCTCGTGATCGATGTTTAACTCATAATGGTAAATATTTCATTTTTTCCTAAACGTGTAAGATCGTATCACATGTACATTCATCTTGTATCTTTTTGTTGACATTGCCACGCACTTTGGCAAGGCACCTTACCATAATGGTAATGACATGCGACGGGCCTCCCGTATGTTGTTCAGGTGGGTAATCACGAGTTATATGTTAACTACAAGACTACTCGCCGCAAAATTACCGTCAAATCTCAGGACGATAAAATCGGAAAACAAATTAGATTCTTTTACAAATATATATATATATACCTGTGCACAATTCAGTATTTGCCTTAAATGTCAGATACGAATACTGTTTTTGTCTATTAACAGGACCTCAACGAAACAGAAGATCCTGAAGACGAAAACGAAGACCATGAAATTATAGAAGCCGTCGGTGACATGATTCCGGAACATTTTGAAGTAAACTTTCTAAACTCCTTTTGTTCATCATATTTTTTTCCTCTGTTGTCTCATCTAATGAGAATATTTACACATGTTCTACAATAATCTGTTCCGAAAAACGATAAGCAGATTTAAAGAAAAATTGTGTAGTCAACATTTAGTGGGTCTATATAGCTCATTCTGTAGCGCATGGGCAATTCAACCTATGTGAAGTCCCTGAGTGTGTGGTTCGATCAGTTATTGCTGAAGGTCAGGGCCATACTGAACTGTTGTAGTTTTATCCACTGGCAAGACATTCTGCCACAATTGCTCTGCGTGATATATGGCGGACCTCCCGTATGTTGTTCAGTGAAATATCAACTAACTGTTAAAATGTGACTCCCCTTGAAAATTACATAGGCTATTCATTGAAAGGTTAATTATCAAGTGATGTTTTAGTGAGCATTGTTATTGTGATCACCCATTTTTTCCAGGAAGAAATTGAGATAGAGAGACGGAAACTAATCAGATTTGTTTCCAAGATCTGGCCTCATGGAATCATTCCCTACAAGTTTGTGACCGGTCGTCGTCGCTTTAGTGAGTTCATTACCGTCTCTTGCATGCTATAAGCCGAATTATCTACTCCTGTTAAAAAATGTCCTTCTCGTACTTGTCAAGATATTTCTAACTTAGCAGAGTACCTCCTCTCTCTTGTAATAGTATTTCAAGAAAGCCTAACCATTGCATCAGAATTAAATTACCCTCGATCGTATTTCACTAAAATATTTCCCAGTTCTGGACGGCCTGGTTGATAATGACGTCGTTGCAAGTAAAAATGATTCAAACAAAGGATAAGTGACAATACCAAAGGGGAACTAACTCTTGTCCCCGTCTAAGCTGACTTTTTACACGAATATTTTGTTTTTGTTTTTCTACTTGTGCGTGTATTTCATTATTATTATTATTTGCTGTTGTATTTTGTCTGCGTGGGAGGGTTTTATTCATTTTTTTGCTTATATATATACGCTGAAGTTTATTTATAAATATACTGGTTAAGTGGAATTTCCGTAGTTTGTACCCTTCAGAAAGTCGAGGACATAAGACTTTTCTACCTCGATCTTAAATTAAGCACAACCATCAGGACATTATTTCGTGTGGCTGTATAATACAGGTGATGCCTTCAAATTTCCTTAGATCGTTGTTAGCTCGATAATGTAGGACCTGTTCCGAATATCACAATATCCGTGTTAACAACTAAAGGAAAGAAACACGCTGATAAAGAACATAGGATTTCTATTTTATGGTCGCCTGCGTGAGGGAGCCTAAAATTGCTTCTAAGTTCCTAGTTTCCTGCATGAAGTTCAGTTTTTCTTAAACGGAACTTGGATTTAATTCCCCGTTAAGTAAATGACGACAGAACATTATAGAATATATCTTTTTTGACAGAGAACCCAAAGTCGAAAACTTACATCATGATAGCGATTCGACACTGGGAACGATACACGTGTCTACAATTCATCGACATTGTCAAACAGAAAGAAAAGTATTTGTCCACGAGAAAACTCCTGAAACACGACCATTACCTTTCCTTTGGTACTGGAAAAGGGTAAGTTTCAAGCAAGGTACATGTGTGGGGTCACCTGATGAGCTGTACACAGTTACTGCAAAATTTTGGTGGGGACTTACTTTCGTTGATTTCTGTTGTAATTAACAAGCGAATGCATATGTCCGCTAAATGCTAAAATAAGCATATGATGATTTATTCAACTATATTTGTCTACGAAATCAAGTGTGCACGAAATGGTGATATTTTGAAAAACTCGAAAATTGAGCCCGCGAAAATATAAGATTTTGCAGTATGCATTTATGCAAATATATGGAATATGTCTTATATCTTTTTTTTTTAATTTCTTCATTGATTCATTATTAATAATATATATCCATGTAATATCTTTATGTATTACATGTGTGTAATATACCAGTAACATACTTGCATTGTGACGTCAGGTTTATACAGTCAAGTGACGTCACAAAGTTATTGATTACACTATGACGTGACAATGAAGACCGCACTTATAAAGCCGACATTATTTCCCGTGTGATGTGGAAAAGTTCGTTTAGTGTACATGTAATATTTGTATAAATAATTGATCACGTGAAAAATAGCAAATCTTACCTTCGTTTTCATATGATCTGCAATTAAAAAATCCCGATTTTTTTTATCAAAACCACATGTCAAATGGAAACTGATGTAAGATATGATATTTCTAAAACTGATATTTTGAAAATATCCTTTCTCTTACATATATGTAATGAAAAATAATTCTACAACACAAAAGATGCAGAAGCGTTTTGTCTTACCTTACAGAAGTAAGGAATCTGTTTCATCAAACCTCAGAGGCCATTTACCGTCAACTGTCTTCCGAAACTTATATCTGTAATAGAGCCCTTCATCTTCTCTTTAATAGATTTTACTCCTGAATTCCACACCATGTAAAATCCCAATTCAGGTTTAGAAGAAACATACGGTAACGTCAGGTATTTCAATAGTCGCACAAAGTGCACGTGCTGTGCATGGCTGCCGTTCGGAACACCTCGGTTGTTTTTATTTCACTTTATCGTTTCTACCACTTTTTTTACATACAGATATAAAACATCCTGACGTTGTCTGTTGTTATATAAAATGTTATCACAATAACGGCTGTTTTGCTACTCTTTATTGTTTTTTTCATTCGGTGTTATTTTTCTGAACTGTAAGTCAAGGTCTTGTTGTCAACCAGTTACGTGCGCAGTCGATCGATCTTTACTATTTATATATATATATATATATGTATGAACATATATGTTGTTCTCTTTCTTTGAATCATAAAAATTGAAAAACTGAAATACAATATTTATAACAGTCCAACTATAGACTGAGGCCACTCAACGACGCAGTCGGCGGGTCAACTCGAAAATAGTTTTTTCCAAAACGAGCTTCCAACTAGAATACACAAAAGCATATTCCCATGAGATCAGCATAAACCTGGAACAAATTACCGGACCATATTGTTACTGCAAAAACTGTCAATAAGTTTAAAAATGAGTTAGACTGTTACTGGAAAAACCAAGAACTTTTCTTCAACTACAGAGATGAAACATTGTTTTGTAAGAAACATAAATTATTTATTATAAAATCTTGAAACTAAACATGCATTATTGAGTCTGCTATAGATGACTCTTCACGTCCTGAACAGGAAATAAACTTATCTTATAATGATCTTGAGTTTCATTCATTTTGTCGTATTTTCGATGTTTAAGTTAATTGTTTGTTGTTTTTTTTTTATATAAATATGTATTATAGTCGATAACCCGAATCAGAACTCGGCCCATGAAGAGCTTTCTCTAATTCAATTTGAAGCGTTCATAATAAAACGGAAGTCTTTTTAAAGCGTTTGTCCTGAAACAGATACTGGAAACTTTGAAGTATGGCTTAAAATATACATTGTACATGTACATTGTATACTGGCTTGTGTGCGACAGTTTGTAAATTATTATTATAACTATTTCAGGTGTGCTTCAATGGTCGGCTATACAAGACGACATGCCCAGCCAGTATATTTGAAAGAACCCGGATGTGTTATGGTAACAAAAATATATATAAAAAAAAACTGAATTGAACTGAACTGGGGGAAAATCATCATTCAGGGTATTTGACAGGAAGAATTCAACTTGTGATACAATATGCCTTCTTTTCACATAAAAAAAACATTTGTTCTCCATTTTGAATGGAGAATAGGTTGCATCATTAAAAGAAATTATTATTCTGTGGTTTTGAAATATTAATGCGAAATGTCTGCCTACACTGGTAGGTAATTAAGGCGGAATATCTCCCTGCACTGGTAGATAATTAAGGCGGTGTGTCTCTCTACACTGTTAGGTAATTAAGGCGGTATGTCTCCCTGCACTGTTAGATAATTAAGGCGGTATGTCTCTCTACACTGTTAGGTAATTAAGGCGGTGTGTCTCTCTACACTGGTAGGTAATTAAGGCGTATGTCTCCCTGCACTGTTAGGTAATTAAGGCGGTATGTCTCTCTACACTGTTAGGTAATTAAGGCGGTATGTCTCCCTTCACTGGTAGGTAATTAAGGCGGTATGTCTCTCTACACTGTTTGGTAATTAAGGCGGTATGTCTCTCTACACTGGTAGGTAATTCAGGCGGTATGTCTCTCTACACTGTTAGGTAATTAAGGCGGTATGTCTCCCTTCACTGGTAGGTAATTAAGGCGGTATGTCTCCCTGCACTGGTAGGTAATTAAAGCGGTATGTCTCTCTTCACTGTTAGGTAATTAAGGCGTATGTCTCCCTGCACTGTTAGGTAATTAAGGCGGTATGTCTCTCTACACTGTTAGGTAATTAAGGCGGTATGTCTCCCTTCACTGGTAGGTAATTAAGGCGGTATGTCTCTCTACACTGTTAGGTAATTAAGGCGGTATGTCTCTCTACACTGGTAGGTAATTCAGGCGGTATGTCTCTCTACACTGTTAGGTAATTAAGGCGGTATGTCTCCCTTCACTGGTAGGTAATTAAGGCGGTATGTCTCCCTGCACTGGTAGGTAATTAAAGCGGTATGTCTCTCTTCACTGTTAGGTAATTAAGGCGTATGTCTCCCTTCACTGTTAGGTAATTAAGGCGGTATGTCTCTCTACACTGTTAGGTAATTAAGGCGGTATGTCTCCCTTCACTGGTAGGTAATTAAGGCGGTATGTCTCTCTACACTGTTAGGTAATTAAGGCGGTATGTCTCCCTGCACTGTTAGGTAATAAGGCGGTGTGTCTCTCTACACTGTTAGGTAATAAGGCGGTATATAGTGAGTTAAGGAGGTATTTCTACTGACCCTGTTTCGTCTTATTTTGTAGCCTGGTATTGTGGTACATGAGATCGGCCATGCTATCGGCTTCTACCACGAACAGTGTCGAGAGGACAGGGACCATTTCATTGACGTCAACATTAATGTTGTCAAAGAGCCGGGAAGGAAAAATTTCGCGAAGGTCATCACCCAAACCGAAATCGCTCCGTATGATCTGTCATCTACTATGCATTACGGATCAAAGGTAAGAGGTAGTTCAGTCCGTAGCGAGATCACCCATACTTTTAAAAACTACGTATTTTTCTTTTTCTTTTTTTTTTTTTTTTTAGATCATGTTCTGTGAAAAATGGGATAATAGCATATAATAAACGAACAGCATCAGATAATAATATAGTAACAGATTATAATCACATTAAAACACAGACAGATATGGCTAGTATATACATGCATCACTGACGCCAATAATGTACTGCAACACATCAACATGCATCACTGACGACCATAATGTACCGTAATACATCAACATGCATCACTGACGCCCATAATGTACCGTAACATATCTACATGCATCACTGACGCCTATAATGTACCGTAACACATCTACTGCATCACTGACGCCCATAATGTACTGTAACACATCTAATGCATCACTGACGCCCATAATGTACCGTAACAAATATGCATGTATTACTGACGCCCATAATGTACCGTAACACATCAACATGCATCACTGACGACCATAATGTACCGTAACACATCAACATGCATCACTGACGACCATAATGTACCGTAACACATCAACATGCATCACTGACGACCATAATGTACCGTAACACATCAACATGTATCACTGACGCCAATAATGTACCGTAACACATCAACATGCATCTCTGACGCCCATAATGTACCGTAACACATCAACATGCATCACTGACGACCATAATGTACCGTAACACATCAACATGCATCACTGACGCCCATAATGTACCGTAACACATCTACTGCATCACTGACGACCATAATGTACCGTAACACATCAACATGCATCACTGACGCCCATAATGTACCGTAACACATCTACTGCATCACTGACGCCCATAATGTACCGTAACACATCAACATGCATCACTGACGCCAATAATGTACCGTAACATATCAACATGCATCACTGACGACCATAATGTACCTTAACACATCTACTGCATCACTGACGCCCATAATGTACCGTAACACATCAACATGCATTACTGACGCCAGTAATGTACCGTTACAAATATGCATGCATCACTGACGACAATAATGTACCGTAACACATCAACATGCATCACTGACGACCATAATGTACCGTAACACATCTACAGGTATCACTGACATTATTTCCACGCATGATTTATCGCCATACATAGTCGACTCTGACGTCAAAATTTATCGTCACACATCACTAATCGTAACCTGTAACGCAGTTTTCACTTAATCATATTACGCCGGTAAACATAACAGTTATGGTATGTATATACAAAATGTATTTCATAAATCAATCGAGTGATTTTTTTATACAATTAATGATATTTTGCAGTATTTCAGTATAGACGGTACAAGTACTATCCAAGCTCGGGATTCGAACCTCAACTTCCTACTTGGACGACGTATTGGATTGAGTTTCTATGACGTTGTGGCCGCTAACAACGCATATAATTGTGCTGGTAATTGGTATAAATCAAATGATATACAATATGTAATTTCTGTATTTTCTATACTTGCTTACAATAGCTGTCAAAATGAGAATGAGTGTTATCAACTGAAAATAGGTTTACCAGGTTTCCAGGGACGTATGATTCAGAATTCTGCATTGATCTTACAAGTTTTGAATCAGTCACGACCAGAGTGTGACCGCAGGAGTCGATTCCGCCAAAGAGCAAACTAAATGTGGCGGAGAATACCACAAATTACTCTAAAAATGCATCAAGTTAAGATTATATAATTTTCAGTAAAATATCTTATAAAAAATTCTCTTAAACGATAAATAGCAACGTTCGATTGCATCAATGGCCGGATATGTGTACAATGTATTTCAGATTTCAGATTGCCATGTTTTAAACCTATTTGTTTACAGAGAAGTGTAGATTGTTGGAAAATGTTCCAAAATGTCAGAATGGAGGTACCCTTTTTTGGAAATGTGAATGTCTTTGCCCAGAAGGACTAGCTGGTAACCATTGTGACCGAATTGACAACTCCTGGACTATCGGCGGTATGTAACAAACAGGAAGCGGAAGTGATAACATTTATGCGCAGTCAGAAAGTGGTTTACTCGATTCTTTTGCACCCTGCGTCAGGACAGTTCCACTCGAAAACGAGGTGCAGGGCGTCATATCTTCCGTTTTGTTTGTTTGTTTTTGTTTTCTATTTTTGTTTTTGCTTTTGCTTCGACTTTAACAATTGAAATTGGCTGCTATTACCAATTATACTGAAAACGGTAACTACTAACAAGTAATTACTAATTTACTATCAAGATATAGTTTTACATGTTTAAATGTGACTCTTGTTGATGTTGTAGGTTGCGGCGGTACGATAAATCTTTCTACAGAGAGCATACTCATAAAGTCTCCAAACTATCCCAACTCATACGGAAAAGTGAAATGCATCTGGCTCATCAAGGTAAATCATCTGCTTATGTCAGTATCCAATCTTACTCCAGGTAAATACATTTACTTATGTCGGTATCCAATCTTACTCCAGGTAAATACATTTACTTATGTCGGTATCCAATCTTACTCCAGGTAAATACATTTACTTATGTCGGTATCCAATCTTACTCCAGGTAAATACATTTACTTATGTCGGTATCCAATCTTACTCCAGGTAAATACATTTACTTATGTCGGTATCCAATCTTACTCCAGGTAAATACATTTACTTATGTCGGTATCCAATCTTACTCCAGGTAAATACATTTACTTCTGTCGGTATCCAATCTTACTCCAGGTAAATACATTTACTTATGTCGGTATCCAATCTTACTCCAGGTAAATACATTTACTTATGTCGGTATCCAATCTTACTCCAGGTAAATACATTTACTTATGTCGGTATCCAATCTTACTCCAGGTAAATACTTTTACTTATGTCGGTATCTAATCTTATTCCAGGTAAATATGTTTCTTATGTCTTACTCCAGTTAAATTCATTTACTTATGTCTTACTCCAGGTAAATTAATGTACTTATGTCAGTATCCTAGCTTACTCCAGGTAATTAATTTACTTATGTCAGTATCCTATCCTACTCCAGGTAAATGAATTAACTTATGTCAGTATCCTATCCTACTCCAGGTAAATGAATTTACTTATGTCAGTATCCTATCTAACTGAAGGTAAACAATTTACTTATGTTAGTGTTCTATCTAACTGAAGGTAAACAATTTACTTATGTCAGTATCCTATCTAACTGAAGGTAAACAATTTACTTATGTCAGTATCCTATCTAACTGAAGGTAAACAATTTACTTATGTCAGTATCCTATCCTACTCCAGGTAAACAATTTACTTATGTCAGTTTTCTATCTAACTGAAGGTAAACCATTTACTTATGTCACTATCCTAAATAACTGAAGGTAAACCATTTACTTATGTCAGTATCCTAAATAACTGAAGGTAAACAATTTACTTATGTCAGTATCCTAAATAACTTAAGGTAAACAATTTACTTATGTCAGTATCCTATCTAACTGAAGGTAAACAATTTACTTATGTCAGTATCCTATCTAACTGAAGGTAAACAATTTACTTATGTCAGTATCCTATCTAACTGAAGGTAAACCATTTACTTATGTCACTATCCTAAATAACTGAAGGTAAACCATTTACTTATGTCAGTATCCTATCTAACTGAAGGTAAACAATTTACTTATGTCAGTATCCTATCTAACTGAAGGTAAACAATTTACTTATGTCACTATCCAATCTAACTGAAGGTAAACCATTTACTTATGTCAGTATCCTAAATAACTGAAGGTAAACAATTTACTTATGTCAGTATCCTATCTAACTGAAGGTAAACAATTTACTTATGTCACTATCCAATCTAACTGAAGGTAAACCATTTACTTATGTCAGTATCCTAAATAACTGAAGGTAAACAATTTACTTATGTCAGTATCCTATCTAACTGAAGGTAAACAATTTACTTATGTCAGTATCCTATCTAACTGAAGGTAAACCATTTACTTATGTCAGTATCCTATCCTACTCCAGGTAAACAATTTACTTATGTCAGTATCCTATCTAACTGAAGGTAAACCATTTACTTATGTCAGTATCCAATCTAACTGAAGGTAAACCATTTACTTATGTCACTATCCAATCTAACTGAAGGTAAACAATTTACTTATGTCAGTATCCTATCTAACTGAAGGTAAACAATTTACTTATGTCAGTATTCTATCTAACTGAAGGTAAACAATTTACTTATGTCAGTATCCTATCTAACTGAAGGTAAACAATTTACTTATGTCAGTATCCTATCTAACTGAAGGTAAACAATTTACTTATGTCAGTATCCTATCCTACTCCAGGTAAACAATTTACTTATGTCAGTTTTCTATCTAACTGAAGGTAAACCATTTACTTATGTCACTATCCAATCTAACTGAAGGTAAACAATTTACTTATGTCAGTATCCTATCTAACTGAAGGTAAACAATTTACTTATGTCAGTATCCTATCTAACTGAAGGTAAACCATTTACTTATGTCAGTATCCTAAATAACTGAAGGTAAACAATTTACTTATGTCAGTATCCTATCTAACTGAAGGTAAACAATTTACTTATGTCAGTATCCTATCCTACTCCAGGTAAACAATTTACTTATGTCAGTTTTCTATCTAACTGAAGGTAAACCATTTACTTATGTCACTATCCAATCTAACTGAAGGTAAACAATTTACTTATGTCAGTATCCTATCTAACTGAAGGTAAACAATTTACTTATGTCAGTATCCTATCTAACTGAAGGTAAACAATTTACTTATGTCAGTATTCTATCTAACTGAAGGTAAACAATTTACTTATGTCAGTATCCTATCTAACTGAAGGTAAACAATTTACTTATGTCAGTATCCTATCTAACTGAAGGTAAACAATTTACTTATGTCACTATCCAATCTAACTGAAGGTAAACCATTTACTTATGTCAGTATCCTAAATAACTGAAGGTAAACAATTTACTTATGTCAGTATCCTATCTAACTGAAGGTAAACAATTTACTTATGTCACTATCCAATCTAACTGAAGGTAAACCATTTACTTATGTCAGTATCCTAAATAACTGAAGGTAAACAATTTACTTATGTCAGTATCCTATCTAACTGAAGGTAAACAATTTACTTATGTCAGTATCCTATCTAACTGAAGGTAAACCATTTACTTATGTCAGTATCCTATCCTACTCCAGGTAAACAATTTACTTATGTCAGTATCCTATCTAACTGAAGGTAAACCATTTACTTATGTCAGTATCCAATCTAACTGAAGGTAAACCATTTACTTATGTCACTATCCAATCTAACTGAAGGTAAACAATTTACTTATGTCAGTATCCTATCTAACTGAAGGTAAACAATTTACTTATGTCAGTATTCTATCTAACTGAAGGTAAACAATTTACTTATGTCAGTATCCTATCTAACTGAAGGTAAACAATTTACTTATGTCAGTATCCTATCTAACTGAAGGTAAACAATTTACTTATGTCAGTATCCTATCCTACTCCAGGTAAACAATTTACTTATGTCAGTTTTCTATCTAACTGAAGGTAAACCATTTACTTATGTCACTATCCAATCTAACTGAAGGTAAACAATTTACTTATGTCAGTATCCTATCTAACTGAAGGTAAACAATTTACTTATGTCAGTATCCTATCTAACTGAAGGTAAACCATTTACTTATGTCAGTATCCTAAATAACTGAAGGTAAACAATTTACTTATGTCAGTATCCTATCTAACTGAAGGTAAACAATTTACTTATGTCAGTATCCTATCCTACTCCAGGTAAACAATTTACTTATGTCAGTTTTCTATCTAACTGAAGGTAAACCATTTACTTATGTCACTATCCAATCTAACTGAAGGTAAACAATTTACTTATGTCAGTATCCTATCTAACTGAAGGTAAACAATTTACTTATGTCAGTATCCTATCTAACTGAAGGTAAACAATTTACTTATGTCAGTATCCTATCTAACTGAAGGTAAACCATTTACTTATGTCACTATCCTAAATAACTGAAGGTAAACCATTTACTTATGTCAGTATCCTATCTAACTGAAGGTAAACAATTTACTTATGTCAGTATCCTATCTAACTGAAGGTAAACAATTTACTTATGTCAGTATCCTATCTAACTGAAGGTAAACCATTTACTTATGTCAGTATCCTAAATAACTGAAGGTAAACAATTTACTTATGTCAGTATCCTATCTAACTGAAGGTAAACAATTTACTTATGTCAGTATCCTATCCTACTCCAGGTAAACAATTTACTTATGTCAGTATCCTATCTAACTGAAGGTAAACAATTTACTTATGTCAGTATCCTATCTAACTGAAGGTAAACCATTTACTTATGTCAGTATCCTAAATAACTGAAGGTAAACAATTTACTTATGTCAGTATCCTATCTAACTGAAGGTAAACAATTTACTTATGTCAGTATCCTATCCTACTCCAGGTAAACAATTTACTTATGTCAGTTTTCTATCTAACTGAAGGTAAACCATTTACTTATGTCACTATCCAATCTAACTGAAGGTAAACAATTTACTTATGTCAGTATCCTATCTAACTGAAGGTAAACAATTTACTTATGTCAGTATCCTATCTAACTGAAGGTAAACCATTTACTTATGTCAGTATCCTAAATAACTGAAGGTAAACAATTTACTTATGTCAGTATCCTATCTAACTGAAGGTAAACAATTTACTTATGTCAGTATCCTATCTAACTGAAGGTAAACAATGTACTTATGTCGGTATGCTATCCTAATGCAGGTAAATAAATTGATTAATGTCACTATTTTTTGTTTATTTCTTTGTTTTTGTTTTTTGTTTTTTTTTTTGTTTGTTTGTTTCTTTGTTTGGCGTTGGATAGGAATAAAAAAATTCTGTTCACTGACACTTTATATCACATTTTGATTTTGTTTTGTTTTTTTTTTTTTTGATTTTGAAAAAATGATTGATAAAATAAAGATATTTTTTTCACATTTGATTGCTGACCCATGTCGATCCCACGAAAATCGTTCAAATTGTCTTGTGGTTGTGATAAAACTACATTCTTGGTATTCATGTTTCACTTTCAGATGATTTTTGTTGTATTCACTTCAATGATCTATTTCTTTCTTTCTTTATACTTATTTATTTATTTATTTATTTGTCTCTTTTGCTTTTCGTTAGGCTGGTTCCAACACACAGATCAAAACAACAGTCACAGTTCGCCACATCCCGACATCAACGAAGAGACGGGAATGCTATCATTGGTTGGAGGTTCGTTACAATCTAGTCGGACAGAACGGTCCAAGGTAAATATACTGAAAAAATTTTTTTCTCAAGTTTCTATTTTCGCTATTAAGGAGGGAAAATCAGAAATTGGATAAAAATGAAAAAGAGGGGTTTATTTTTGCTTTGGTTTTGTTAAAAATACTTAATTTTTGTTTGAAGTGTTTTGAAACGTAAATTGTAATTTCGCAATTTCACTCCATCTCGAAAATAGCGAGAAAAAGAAATAGAAAATAAGAATAGCCGATTTAGATACATGTATGTAGACCTCCTGTTGTCTATTCTATCCAGCATATATTTACGTTTGTGTTGCATTCCCTTTTCTTTTCTCCTACATTTCTGTTGGATTTGGGTATTTCTTGAGGTACGCGTATGACGCTATCTAGAGCTGTAAGGAAATTCAAAATTCATTAAAGCACACAATTTACTGGCAGGAAATATACATTGTACATAATTAGTTTCTCTATAGTTTTCTCGTTTCTGGCTTGTTACAGACTGTGTGGTGCCAATGGCCATAAAGAATTTCCACTATCTTCAAGCAACATCATCATGTTGCGCTTTGATGGCTCCAAAGGGCACGTGAGAACGAAAGGCGGATTTCAGGTTAAAGTTCAAGCAATTAAAGGTTAGATATATATTTCCGCTTCCGGACTCTCCTAGATTCGAACACCTTAGTTTAAATTTTTTCTAGCTCTCTGATTTGAACCCTTTGATCAAGACATTTCCGGCTCTGGACTATCTTAGATTCGAACACATCAGTTTCCAAAAACAAATATTGATAAGTTGCTTCTGAATGTTGTGGGTAACTGTGACAACGGATCAAGGCTTTTCGCAATAGGTTCGGGGAAAATATTTTATTTATCAGAAAACACATTTGGTCGACAAGTGGATTTTTTTTCATTTTTGATAACAGGATTTCTTGAAGTTGTTTCATTTCTGTCTTCAACAGATCGTGGAAAATTTGTTCACTCAAAGCCTTTTTTGAATATTGACGTCTGAGTAAAGAATCATCAGATATAATTTTCTCAGAAATATATATTGTAAGCTTATCATATCAACGATTCGACCTGTTTTTGCTATAATCTAATCGCTATTTCGTCACACTGCTATTCACATAATTGTACTGTAATACGACCAAAAAGTCCCGTTGTTTCATCACCATCTCGAACACTGTATACGTTACACTGATCATTCGTCCGATGAATGTAGGTGACGTCATCGACACTCGCAATTGGTCATTGACCTTCATGTTTATAACACTTGCTTTTTTCAAGAATCGAATAAATTCACGAAAATTAGCCGTTTTGAAAATAAAGAAAAAGCATAGTCTGTTTCATTACTTCCTTGATGTTTCTTGAGAAAAAAATAACTATTTAAAACCCTTTTTAAAACCGCAAAAAACTGAGAAATAAAAAAAAACAAAAACAAAAAAAAAAAAAAACAAACAAACAAAAAAACAATACGAAATCTTTTAAGCACGGTATTTGCTTATATTTTTTAGCAATTAACCAGGGCGACCGTTTATTTTACTGTGACTTCGACACCAGTGTCTGTGGCTGGAAACATACGTCTCCGCCCGATGGCCTAGCATGGCGACGAGAACGCTGGGTCGTTATGGGACCGTACAAGGATCATACGTCGGGGAAAGGCAGGTTTCTAGTCGAGGCAGACAACGCTAAGGTAGGGTATATACTGGAATGTGATGGAATCCGCAAAATATCTCACTACCTCGGAAAGTCTTGGGTGTGTTTCGTACACCAGTTTTTTGTATACACTGAAAATTTGGTATGAGAAAACATACGATTCTTCAAGTTTCGAAAATTATTTTTCTAAAACAAAGTCTAGCCATAATTTTAATTGATATTAATTAATGTTTTTTCATTGTCAAACAAAATTTGAGGAAGAAATTCACCGTGTATCGTCGGTACTGGATATAGTTATCATCGAAGCGACGAGAAGTGAAACACGAATAAAACACTAAGTGAGCCATGGAGCGCTAAAAGGTTAAGATATTTCAGAAATACAAAGTCTGTAGATTAAAAAAAAGTTTCACATATTGATAATAACATAAAACGTTTGCCTTGTACCTTTGAACAGAGATCGAAAGCCATTTGTAAAACCACATTAAAAGCTACTTTATATTGCAAGTGGCTCAAGTGTAAAGTGATTGTAATACTAGATTGCTCTCAGGGCGGCAGTTACTAGGTCTGGTTTTAATCCAATTTAGTACAATTTTGATAACAAAAAAGTTTTCGGTGTATTCGAATTAGTTGTACAGGGTTCGGTTCGGTAAGGTAAGGATTTCTGTGGTACCAGCTATATCATCACACCGAGCCTGTCATACTGCAATCACAATCCTTAGACAGTATGTGTTCTTCTACAGTGGACAAAAAAATTACACTGACATACATGTACCAGCGACACGTTTGGAGACCAAATCAATATTTAGAATATTCATACCTAAAACTTGTTTTATTTCCGTACCGTCTTTGAACGTTTTAGAAGCGAATGTGGAAGGCTCGGATCGTACCGTTCACTATACAATGCCGAACAAATACCGGGAAACTGAAAACCAGAATCAGATTAAGTATGTCAAAGAGTTCATGCATAGCCTGACACATGTATAATATATTTATATATATAAGGTATAAGTTCATGTAGTATGTTTTGTTCCAAAAATATACTCTCATTTTTATATTTTATAGAAAATCGGGTCAGTTGCCCGAATGACGAGTCCGGATTTTGAAAACAGTGGCTCCATCTGCTTACGATTCTGGTACTTTGCATACGGTTATAAACTTGGACACTTCCGGGTGAAGGCACTGGTTGATGGTGAAGAGAAGATGGTTGTCTGGACATTGGACACAAAACCAAAGACTCGATCCTGGAAACGGGCAGAAGTCTCCTTAACCAGTCAGGGTTATTTCAAGGTATTTTGATGTTTATACGGGAAATATTCGCCCAATTTTTCGTGTTATTTTGCTCAGTTGAACTTCGGCCGAAAGATACACGAAATAACCAACTTTCGGCTTTATCAGAAAAAGCTTATCTTTTATCATCGCACTAATTGAAAAAACGGTGACGGGGAAACTGCGGTAGAAGGAGAAACTGCGACATAATCCTCCTTGTATAAGTTATCCTAGAAATTTCTTAACATCAGGAAAGATATGTTCTCTGATATGATTGTTACTAATGTAAGCGATATATATATGACGTTTTTAAAAAGTTCATCATTTTGCAATGAATTAGCAAACACATAGCTAAAATAACATTATCTAATTACACTGTACTTTTCCAAAGGATAAGTTTAGTGGAGGTTTGATATTCTTTCTACCATATCATGAATGAAGAAATTTCGACAGAAAACACTATTTTCTTAGTATTTATATAATAGCAATGATAATCACGAACTGTCAGTCTGGGTAAACGTTAGCGCTTTATGCACCGTGACCTATTAAAGTCTAAACTATATGGAACTTCACATTTGCTATTTCACTGCACGAACTATGTTTATTCTAAATAAATTCTACCTCATAATTTCTATGTCATTAACACATACGAGTGAAAAATTCTCCCCGCAAGGTGCAGGTCGAGAATATGTAAGTCGTACCATGCCGATTATATATTTTGTAAATCGAGACGAGGGGCCCATAGATTTGCAGTGGTCGGGCAGCGCAGCCTTTCACCTAGACGTACGGGGTTTAATTCCCCAAGAGCGGACGCGAAGAAGCATGGTTTCACCTGCCTGACCACGTGGGTTTTCCTGGGTTACTCAAGTATACTTCCTGTTTAAGACTTCTTTTACACTTCCGTCAACAAGAATGATTAATATAAGCTGATAGTTTCCGAATGTGTGACAATAAGAATAACCAATTTGTGCGTTTTTGAAAATGGAAGCAGAGCCAAAATCTGTTTTTTATTACAATATATTAAACTATAAAAAAAATCATTAATCATTGCAGTTGATTTTGGAGGTAACAGCAAGTGCCAATTGGGGAAACTACGCAATAGATGACATGGAGATCACAATGGGAGAATGTTAGACAAACCACACTAGGAAACTGACTTCGACATGTTCACCTATTTCCCAGGAAGAAAATCGCTGTATAAAAGTGTTCAGCAAACTAGGCGTGCATTTTGTCTCCATGGAACATTTTATAGAAAAGTTTCAGTCTACACAGATATTTTGTTTTCATGAAATATCGGTATTTATATTATTTCATCAGCAAGTAAAATTTAAATCATTCTATATTTGTCTACCTGGAATAAGAATGAAAAAGTATGAGATATAATGTTAACTTACTATTGATATCAATTATTTATAATTTGTTTATATCTATATTCTTACTTGTTAAATTGGCTTGAAATAAATTGTTTTGACCCATTATTGTTTTTTTTAAATCATATATATTTAAACCTGTCTATAGAGGCCATTCCTGGGAACAGAGAAAAGTGACCTTTATACAGTTAGTTGTTATATAGAGGTACAATTCTATAAAGTTTCATGACATTGTGAACCAAAAGGTGGCCGTTATAGGCAGGTGGCCTTCGTATAAATGTGGTCTGTAAGACAAGGTTATTTGTATATGTGCATGCGTCCTCGCTCTCAGATTCAGGTCACTCAAAAAGTTTTATTTTTGTGGGGTTTTTCGGGGAAAATAAAGAAAAAAGAAACTTGAAGGAAAAAGGATGTCTTTTTGCGGAATTGACTATATTTCCTGACTAATTTTATACTGTACCAATCAGTTTCAACAATTTTATTCCTTTCGTGAGTTCAATGAAAAACCCGCCTTCTCTAATTCACTATCATGGCCCTGAAACTGCCTACGGTTTAATAATGATGTACACTTTAGTCCATTCACCCAACATTGAACTATAATCAAGGCTTATCATTTGCTCTCTGTGCTTGATAAGCATGACCTTTTTAGAGTTAACCTCGTTGAGAATGCATCTTTTAATTGTGGTCATCTTTGTGAGAATGTCTTTTACTATTATATTGAAGGTAAACGTTTCTCAAACGAAAGACGTATGTTAGTTGCGTTAGGTATTAAACTATTTTTGTTTGGCTATTCTCAATTTTCTTTGGACTTTAATTCAAGTTTTTTTTAGATCTCTGTATAACCATATTAAATCCAGCAAGAGATTTTGATGTCAAATTGTAACAATAATTGTATATTTGTATTGTTAGTATTGTAATGTCATTTAAAATGTATATTGGGAAAAAGCGTTGATAAGTTACAACTTGTCTACCTTTTAGCAATTAAAAATAAACCTAGTATATCCATACCATTAGCTAATGTAACGTACTAATAACACAGTCATGAAAAACAACAAACACAAATAAAAAGCAATTAATGACGTCACTGTAAGAGATAAAATCAATTATGACGTTACATGACCCAGTTGTCAAGCTTACAAAGCAGACGCTAAAAAGAATGGGTACAGAAGGACTGAGAGAATGACGGAGAAATACACAGTTAAGACGATGTCTAAATGATAATTATTATAATTATCCAAAATAACTTTCACCACTCTAATACAGGCAGATTTAGTTTAGAACGGGATTTATTTCTGAAGCTCCCAAACCTACCACCTCCCGTAAATCATATTAACTATAAGGCTACGTAATTGTTATTTAAAAACTTTTTGTTATACAGGGAAAAAACAGGAAATATTGTTTTAATTTTGACCATAGAGTCCGTCAAATGTAAACAATATCGTTCGACCGTTTCTCGCTCAGCTTCTGGAGAAACACAAACTGTTACGGACAGGCAGTGTCGAACCACACACCACATATCTTCATTTGATGTTACCTAGTCCAGTGCTCTTTCCGACTGTGCTATAGGGGCCGGTAAAATACTCCTTTCCAAATATCATAACTTATTTAAATGACAGTTACCAGTAATTAATATTTCGCTATTTTTTTTTAATTTGGGTCTATTTTCCTCTGAAGAAACAGGATTGCTTCAATAAATGGTATTTTTGAAGAAGCTGGTGGCTACCTTAGCGAACAACATTCTGGAGGACCACCGCATGATATCCAGAGCGATTAATATAAAGTGTCTTGTACAAGACAACACAAGCCGCGCTGAGCAAAGCTTTTACCAAAACCATAGGTCGTTCAGTCCAAATATATTGCGTCATAATTTTCTTTTCTTTTATATCAATTGTTCGGTGATCTATACGTCATTCAGTTGTCTGATTAGTAATCATATCTATTTTTCATTATATTCCAAGCTTCATCCTTCTCTCCCTTTTGCACAAACGACGCTGTTAATGTCTGCATTCCTCGTCATGACCTAATGAATAAGTTTTACCGTAAGTAACGATTTCTCATTTGCATGCGACAAAAGGCCATTCACATCCAATAAGGGACCCGGATGTTTTCCGCTATTGCCAATTAAGATCCCATTTAGCTTAATGGACAAGCCACGGAAAGTCTTAGGGGATTTCTAAGGGAAATGGTCTCCACCGCCTTTATAAAGCTTTTGCATGTAAGGAAATATGTTTAGGTCATTAACAACCCTGGTAAAACATTAAGTGGAGAGGGGACGTTCCAACAAGATGAAAGACGTTGTCCATTAGTATTTAAAAGATGAAGAATCAAGAATCAGTTTTTATGCTTAACGAATCGGAGACCAGTATAACGCGATATAAAAATATACTGTATGGTACAATATTAGTTTGGTTTGACGATCTGAGTTAAGGTATTGATATAATGACAACAAGAGATACCGACATGTCAACAAATTCTTAATTCAGTAATGCGATGGGAAGATATGAACAAAAACAAAGATTTCAACTTGAAAAAGACAAGGTATTCCGGAAGAGTAAGCTCATCTACTTAATCGACGACATATAAATCTGCGCCCGGTAAGACAACATGGATTTATGTATTGATACAGTATCGGTCCGGTAGGACGTAATCACTAATTGTATGGGTATAGTATCAGTCAGGTATGACGTCATGAGTAAAGGTACTGATACAATACCAGTCGGGTATGACGTCATGAGTAAAGGTACTGATACAATACCAGTCGTGTATGACGTCATGAATAAATGTATGGGTAGAGTATCAGCCAGGTATGACGTCATGAGTAAATGTATGGGTTATAGGTAAGGTATCAGTCCGGTATGACGTCATAAGAAAAAGTATGGCTTATGGGTACAATATCGGTCCGATATGACTTCATGAGTAAAGCATTGATGCAGTATCAGTCCGAAATGACGTCATGAGTAAATATATAGGTTCAATTTTAGTCCCGTATGACGTCATGAGTAAATGTATGGGTTATGGGTAAGGTATCAGTCCGTCATGACGTCATAAGAAAATGTATGGGTTATGGGTAAGGCATCAGTTCGGTATGACGTCATGGGTAAATGTATGGGTTCAATTTTAGTCAAGTATGACGTCATGAGTAAATGCATTGATCCAATATCAGTCCGATATGACGTCATGAGTAAATGTATGGGTACAGTTTTAGTCAAGTATGACGTCACACGTAAATGTATCTATATAATATCGTTATTGATACAGTATCAATGCGGTATGCTTTTGTTTTCAGAGTAAACAATCGATGAGACATTAGTCCGGTATGGGAGCAGATTTTAATAAAAAAAGAAAAACCCGAGCTCTATAAATGAAAATCTTTCTCGGTTACGGAAAGTGCCGACGTTTTCTGATTGTGATACACAATACTTGTAGGGATGCTAATTATAAAAAGATGTACGTACGTGGTACATTACAATCGATCTGTCAAGAATCAATAAATAGAGGGTGATATCTCATCTTACTACAAATGGGAAGGACAAAGTTAAGATGCGTTTCAATGTCTTGTCCTTAGCTGAGTGGTGCAGGCACAGAGCGGTTGATACGGCTTGCCGTCATTTATTAGGCTTGACCGATGTGAAAAGCCTCGTCGCAATATGTTACCATGGACTTAATTAACGAGTCTGAAAGTGTCCGGATTTAGACGGTTTCACCAAGGAATCTTGTTTATTTGTTAAATGATTTTCCAATTACAAAAAGAAATGTTCACGAGCACGTTCCGGTAATGGCAAACTGATTTAGGGATCAGCACTTGTCAGCGTGATTTGAAATACGAAATTGTGATCTAAATTTGGATCAACCTATATCAGATTGAAGCAAATTAACAGAGCGATTTACTAATGCATCGGCACAGTAGAAACTTTTTTTCAAGTGGTGGCGTTTATTTAATGACGTCATCGACTTCTTGACGGAAAATTCGATAAAAGGCCTGCACTCCGGAGACAGAATTGGTAACATTGTACGGCTGCCCAATGTTGTGGTGCTTCTACAAGTGGCAACCAAAACTATGGAAACGCGTACTTAGTACAAAGCAGCCACATAAGCGCATGTGTTATGCATATTGTTCGAGGGGTCATTCCAGACCGTGTGGCACTTTAGAAGATTCTGCTGTCGTCGGCCAGGAAACTCAACTTGTGGAGCATTTTATGGAACTAAATACTGGAATATAATGTACAGTGCAGATCAGAATAGGATGACGTTTCAACGATAACGAGTCTGTGGTGGAGTACAGAATATGGAATCCAACACAATGTAAGTATTTGTGGTTTTCCAGTTATTTACTCAAGTTTAGTATGGTTATAAATGACACAGCTTTGCCAACAAACAAGCAGAGCTTAAAGCTTGTCTTACGTTTCAGATTCATGTTGCGGTCTTCTGTCGATTTTATCTTTAAATGAATGATTCACTATCGACCATGTACAAAATAATAATAAAGAACAGCCATTTTGACGACAAACCGTCGCTCACGATCGCAATACTGACGTCATACTGGTCAAGAGCTAGGTAGCATTTATTGTTTCTTTAATTACACTTCTTTCTGGATACTTTATATATTGCAATTGCAATTGCTGTTTATGGTAATTATAAATGACACAATATTGCAATTATAATACATAAAACAGTGCTATATTCATATTTGCCTTCCCTTCACATGTTCCTGTCTTTTTGTCGGTTATAACTTGATTTAAACTAAAATGTCGTCAGTGTAATTTG